TAACTACCACCAGGCTCAAGCATAGAGCTTTAGGAGTATACATGACGCTGGGTAATATAAGGACTCATCTTCGCACTAAACTTAAAGCTATGCTCGCAATCATGCTTGTGCTGGAAGAACATGTCAAAAAGTATCGTCAAAAGTGTTTTGAAAGGCTTGTTGATGAGCTGAAAGACTTGGAAGAGAATGGACTTTAATTTGATGGCAACATCCTCCCTGTCTTTCTTCAGTTTTGTACAGGTGATAATCTTGGCCAACACTTTTTGGGAGGATTTAATGAAGCATTTGCAAGAGGGTTTGTGTGCAGATTTTGTCCTATCAATGTTCGAGAATTCAAGGCCGAGCCTAATTTGGTGAAACCATACAGGACCCAGGCACAGTACAACCGTGCTGTTATGATTGTTTAGACTTCAAACAGGAATAGCCATCTGGGCATCAAAGAGTCATCGAAATTCAACGAACTTCAGAACTTTAAAGTTTGTGATCCAGGCCTCCCTCCATGTTTTGGACACGACCTTTTTCATGGTGTGGCAAGCTGGGACATGGCCAGTATGATTGCTTACTTTGTTGAAAATAACTGGTTTTCATACACAACTCTCAACAGAAGAATTGATGAATTTCAGTATGCTCCAATGGATATGAAGAATAAGCCAGCACCTGTCAAGACGGATGGGACAAAACTAGGTGGAAGTGCAGTACAGAATTGGACATTGATTCGGCTATTTCCTCTCATTATTGAAGGGAAAATCAAGAACCCGAATGACCCTACTTGGAAATTGTATCTCAAGCTGAAGGCGTTGGTCGAGCATGTGGCTGCACCTGCTATAACTGACAAGCAAATTGATAACCTTGATCTTATAATTGAAAGTTATCTGAGAGCAAGGGTGAGCGTTTTGCTGAACTCAAATTATACCATCAAATATCACCTCCTGAAACACTACTGCAAATTGATAAGGCAAATCGGACCCTTGATCCACCTTTGGGGCATGCGATTTGAGCACTACCACAAGCATTTTAAGAGAATTGCCCGGGTTTGCAACAACTTCATTAATTTGCTCTCCACCCTAGCTACAAGGCATCAACTTCTATTCACATATCAATGTGATGGTGAGCGCTTTCCAGAGTAAGTCTCTAAATGTAAACCTTTCAAAATACCACCTGGCTATTTTGAGGAAGATGTCGCTGCCCTCATTTCTCACCAGAACTTCAGCTCCAACTTGCAAGCTGCTGCTTCAATCAAGGTCAACAACTTGACTTACAGAGAAAAGAGCTGGCTTATTCTCAGCCAAGTTTCACCATCTGAGGTCAATCTTGGTAACATTGAGGCTATATTACTTGATGGTAATCAGGTTCACTTTGTTTACCGAGAGGCAAAAGCAACATTGTTGGAACAGTATGGACTCTACAAAATTGATGAGGAATCTGCTGGTTTGTTCTTTTTTCTAAATATTTTTATCATCATTAATTGGCTGAGCGATAGCGAAGCCTGTTACTCCAGTGGGGTTGAAAAATTTTTCCTGTCTGTCTGTGTGTGTGTGTGTGTACACTACTCCTCCTGAACGGCTCGGCCGATCTGGCTGAGATTTTGCAGGCTTATGAGGTATGTCCTTGGCTCGGCACACGCGAAATTTCACCATCCTAGCTCAACTGGTTCAGTTTTTATAGCCGAAAAACACCTAAAAAACGGCGAAAAATTGAGTTTTCTGCAGGTAGATCACCTCTGTCTAGAAGAAAGGGTGGTCTGGGGGGCGGAGCCCCCCAGCCTCGACAAGTTAAAAAGTTACAAGGGTCAAGATCGTGTTATCTGTAGATGAAGCAACTCTTTCTCGAATTAAGGGGGGTCTGGGGGGGCGGAGCCCCCCGGAATGCAACACGTAAGCAACCGACGTGGGACGAGCCAATGCCTGCCGAAGGCAGGCTAGCGCCGCAGGCCAAGGTAGGTACGCCACACAGTGGGACGAAACGCGAAAAAAGTGCCGAGAAGTGGCATTTTAAAAATTGGGCGGGCGGGTCCTACAAACTATCAGATGTTGGAAATAAAGGTTTGGTCTATGCCTGACACTAATTTTTTTGACAATATTTCAAACGTGCGAGCCCCTGCGGAGCGCAAAACTTGACACATTTTCAGCTTTTCGTTTGTACTTTGAAATGGGTGTATAGTTTCCCTCCTGGTAGCCGTCTCCTATGAGATAAAGGTAATGTTTTATATGTTTTTGGAAAGCTTATGACCTAAAGAAACCTGTGTAGCCCTCAGATTTACTCTAAGTTCAGCCGGGTAAAAGTTGAACGGTGTTAAAATTGTTGCAAAATCAACGTTTGAACGATTTTTACGATGCGATAAGTTGAGTTGCGAACATTTGCGAACGGGTCTGCGACATGCCCGTGATAGAGCAGCTTCTCGGCTTTCCGGTCCATATCGCAAAATGCTCGGCATCGCTCAGCGTTTTGAGAAAATCGCCTCTAAAAGTGCCCGTATCGCTCAGTTGGACGAAACCCGGATAAGTGCCAAAAATTCTGGGATGCTCTGATCGTCTCCAAAATCGCTACCGGGGTTTTTGGGGGGATGAGAAACTCGTTTGTTTAAATTAAAAGCCTACAACGAACGCCAGGGGCGGGTCCAACATTCCATGAGGGGGTGAACCGTTCGGAGCGCACGGAACGATGCCAAAATCACTTCATGGGGGTTTTTGGGGATAAGAAACCCGTTCATGTCAACGTCGAAAGCCGGAAACAAACGCCAGGGGCGAATCTAGTTAAACCCTTTCCTTGATTGCTGGATCCGCCCCTGGCGTTCGTTTCCGGCTTTCGACGTTGAGGGGAATGAGTTTCTCATCCCCCAAAACCCCCGTGTAGTGATTTTGGCATCGTGCCGTGCGCTCCGAACGGTTCACCCTCTCCTGGAATGCTAGATCCGCCCCTGGCGTCCGTTTTCGGCTTCCAATTTTGACGGAAACGAGTTTCTTATCCCCCAAAACCACCGGGTAGCGATTTTGGAGACGATTGGAGCATCCCAGAATTATCGGCACTCTTTTTGGGTTTCGTCCCACTGTGCGCCAGGCGCGGATTGGAGGAACAGGCCACGAGACATCGCGAAGCCTGTTACGACAAGACGCGGTCTGGCGTAAACCTACCTTGTTATTAAGGGACAAGACATAATCTATGTGCTTAATTTGTTGCAGGTCAACTCCACATTCAAGAGTTTGAGAGTATTGAATATCCGTGTCCACAAGGTGTTTACAACTTCAGCCATCAGCTGTGCTTCTCACTGAAACATACATTTCCCCATCATTAACTGAGGCAAGTTGCCATCATATTTTTCCTATTTCTTCCTTCACATATTATTTTCATTTTACAAAAGATTTGAACTATTATTGTTGGCTTTATTTATTTCAGGACACCCAGGTATACTAAGTACAAGTTACAAGAGTATTCTGCTTCCGCCCCAGTAGCTGTAGAATTTCAATCATGAGCTGTGCTTCTCTTTAAGACATCCTAAGTTGTTTTGAATACTAATAAGTTGTAACTTTATTTTACTGCAGTGTTTTTTATCCTAAAACTTTTGTTTCCGGCAATTTGAGGGAGGCAAGAAATAATGGATGATTTTCAATATCAAATTTACGAGTCACACAAAGCTCTGATGTAGTCCCCTTCATTCAACTGCCAGAACCTAATTCCTGTCTAAAATATTCCCCAGTAAATTCTAAGGTCCCATGCATGAATATGGGTAGCAATTTTACATTTGTGTTTGAAGTTAAAAGAAATTTTCTTTGTAGTATTTTGAGTGACAACAGAAGGGAATGTAGATTTTGTGAGAGACTTTGATACAGTCTCTTTTTATTTTCTTTCTTGATACCAAATTGTTTTTTATAATTTTAGTCTTAATTATTTTTAAGTGTGTTGTGTTTGAATGAACCTTATTTTATCCTTGTCTTGTTTCAGCATGGTAAGCAGTCTTTCGTGTGTCTTAATTGAAAACAAATTTTCTCTGCTGTACTTTAAACCAAGTTACAAGAGAAGGAAAGATACATTTTGTGAAAGACTATGATAACTTCTCATGTCATTTTATTTCTTTTGTCTATTTTATTGTTGTTTCATGTTTAAATGAACATTATTTTATCCTTGTCTTAACTTAAGTTTTGCTTGTTGATTGGCTGAGCGATAGCGAAGCCTGTTACTCCAGTGGGGTTGAAAAGTTTTGTCTGTCTGTCTGTCTGTCTGTCTGTGTGTCTGTGTGTCTGTGTGTCCGCACTACTCCTCCTGAACGGCTCGGCCGATCTCGGTGAGATTTTGCACACTCTTTGGGTATGACCTTGGCTCGGCACACGCGAAATTTCACTACCCTAGCTCAAATGGTTCAGTTTTTATAGCCGAAAAACACCTAAAAAACGGCGAAAAATCGAGTTTTTCGCAGATAGATCACTTCTGTCATGGAGGAAGGGGGGTCTGGGGGGCGGAGACGCCCAGCCCAGACAGGTTAAAAAGTGACAAGGGTCAAGATCGTTTTATCTGTAGATAAAACAACTCTATTTAGAATGTAGGGGGGTCTGGGGGCGGAGCCCCCCAGCATTCAACAAAATAAAAAATAACCAACAATGGACAAGCCATTGCCTGCCGCAGGCAGGCTAGCGCCCCAGGCCAAGGTAGGTACTTACGCCAGGCGCGGATTGGAGAAACAGGCAGCGAGACATCGCGAAGCCTGTTACGACAAGACGCGGTCTGGCGTAAACCTACCTTGTTTTATCTGTGTCATTTTATTTTAAACTAATTAAGTTTCAATATGGTAGCCTGAGTTATGTCAGTAACTGTCCATTGATTTTTGCTTGCCCACTCCGATCTCATCTATTAGAATGTTGTGGGTAGTGTGGAATTTTATGATATAGAAAGTCTTAAATATTGCATAGTGTATATTTTCATGAGTAAATAAAAATTTCATAGAGGGAATACATTGGTTTCTTTAACAAAATATACATTCTGTAGTTACTTAAACATGAACTACTAAGTCATCATAAACATGTCATAAAATTATATGAACAATCAACAAGTTAAAACAAAACAACATATTTTGATAAATTCTGGGATGACGAGTAACGCAAATGATCTATTCTGAGGTACTAGAGGTGTTGCCATCATTTCTGAAACAAAGTGACATTGCAGAATTAGATAAGACCATGTCAGGGGCACTTCAGTGAGGTTCAAAGTGTCATGCCAGTACATACCCTGAATTGGAGAAATCATCAGCATTCTGGTCTTCTTGCTCTTGGTCCTGCTCCGTTTGCTGTGCTTTCTCCCAATTGGCATACCTGTCTAGCAGGGTCTGGAGGCGCTCAGAAAGAGGCTGTTTGTAGTTTTTCTTTGACATTTTAGTCCCCCGCTCAGGTTCAATTTTTGCCACAACTCTGTAAAACAATAACAATTAGTTTCTTGTCAGATAGAGTAATCCTTCTAAAGCTTGTAAGTGATTGCTGGAACACAGTTGAACAAAATGTACATACCTCTGGAGAAAGTCCAATGTATTGCCAGCGTGTGGAGCATACTTAATATTCATCACGAAGTATGAGCAAAACAGCAGTGTTAGCCCTTCTTTGAAGGACTTGGCAGAGCTCACAACATTGCTGTCAATTGAAAAGAAAAATCCCTTTGCTTCAAAAACAGGACCTGGAGAAAACATTGGAAACACATTGTTAAGTATCTCAGAAATAAATACAAATTTATAACACTTCAAAAGAGGTATAATATTTTTTTTTTGTCTCACCCAAAGACAGCAAGCAGGGTGTTGGTGGCAGTACAAGCCCATCAATGTCCTGCACTTCATTAATTTTTGTTGTTTTCTGCAAGGATCAGAGTCAATTAGAAAAGCTACACTTGTACGCAAACATAGCAGAATTATGCACCCTGAAATAACGTACCTCAATTTCAATAACACTTTCTGACTCGTCTTCCTTGTAAAATTGGGCAAGCATAAGCACTGTTGCTACAATCTTAGGATATTTGCATGTTTTGTTTTTTACAGCCCTCTTATACTTCCTTCTTGTTGAACTGCTCTCAAGCTCCTTCAAGGTTGACAAGAACTTGATGAAAGAATAAGGTTCAAAGTCGTCTTGAAACTCATCGAGCTTCTCCAGCCAATTAATTTGGGTAAGTTCGTTGAAATGAGTAAGCATGCCTCTGCCTCGAAACAGGAATGGCCATTCAGTGGAAAGCTGCTGAGTTGTCTTCCTGTTTTCTTGACCTGTTTCTGTAGCCTGCTGACCTGCTTGCCCTGCTCCTGACGTTCCTGCTTGCCCTGCTCCTGAAGTTCCTGCCTGCCCTGTTTGGCCTGATCCTTCTGTTTGCCCAGATCTTCCCGATTGCCCTGTTGGGCCTGCTCCCGAACCTCCTGCTTGACCAGTATGGCTTGCTCCACCTGCTCCACCTGCTCCACGGGCTCTTCTAGCTCTCGGCTTGGTTTGTCCATTTATATCTTCTCGTTGCAGAGGGAATGTATCAAGGATACGTTTGTCAATTTTCTCCCAGGGCCAATCTTTTGCAAGAGTATTGCGAAATATTTGAGACATAACTAATTTACTGTTTTCCATCTCAATTCTTTTCTCAGGAGTAATTTTAACACGCCAACGCGCACAGCCATGTGCCTCTGGAATTATTTGGCGCCTCATTACTAGATTTAACTTTGAAAGCCCTCATTTCTTCATCGTATCTGAATTTCAGCTTCTGATCCATGTATTTGCAACTGGTCAAACTACGATTGCGATCATGCAAAGCATGAGGATACTTTAAAACCATACTTTCAGCAACTTTAGTAAACATTGTCCTTGCAGCATTTGGGTCTTCTGACAGCACATCTTTAACAATCAATCGTATCATTAAGCAACGATCAGATTTACCAAGCCACTTCCCCTCTTCCAGCTGTCGGATAATTGATCTTGGAATCTGATTCCACTTGACTCTGTATGTTGTAGGAGCTTGATTCTGTAGTTCTCTCAGGGGAAGGTGATCAGGACCTGGAATAAAAATTAAGTTATGAAATTGAATAGTTCAATACTGTCAATCAAAATAAACCCAGACTGCATTGGTATACTAAGTTTTAATATAAAAATTGCATATTTGTTAAAGCACTCACGAAATTTGGCCTGCCAAGAGCGGTGTAAAATAACTGCATCACACACTGGTACTTCGAGGCTTATGACATCTAGTGGAACATCAAACAGACGTTCTAGAGAGCGAACTCCAACTGCTTCACTCGTCAAATGCCTGACCAAGTTCGTGGCCTTTGCCTCATTGCCATCGGGGACAGTTTTCTTGATAAGGACAAGTATACTCTGCTGTACTTCATCCATTTTACCTTGAACAAGAAATACTGGAAGGAGGGACCCTCGTACAGTAAATGAACAGCTCAAACACCACCAGCTACACAAGTGTTTACGCTTCAGGGCACTGAGTCCAAGAGCGACAAGTCACTTTGTCTTAGATTCGGCTAACACAACTCACCTGCGTAGGCTTAGGGTGCAGAAAATTGGAAATTAGAAGCGTCTGTCTTCTTTGAAAGTACTTTTTCGAAGCGTAGAGTAAAATGGCGCCCAACCTCCTTTCCTGCCGCTGTGACAGTCAGCTGTTGGCCGTTCGTCAGTTGTTCGCCTCTGACGACTCGAGGGAGAGATGAGAGGCACTTCCTTCCCTGCATTCCAAATCCATAGGCAAGATGGTAAGTAAGAAAATAAACCGTATTTCTTTAAAAAAATAAATTTCCAAGACAACTTAAGGGGGCACACCAGTGAAAATGCAGAGGTCTCGAAAAACGATCATTCTGAGAAAAGTAACTAATGTATTTGATTGATATTTTATTCTTGGCTTAAAATTATACCAAAGAAAAGAAAAATCAGTATGGGGGGGCGGGGTGGCGATGGCAAGACGGAACGCCAGTGCACTACATTTTTCTGCGACCTTGCCACACTCGTGCCACGATTCCGCCTCTTTGCATTGAGCCTCGAGCACGGGATTTGAAAATTTCTCAACAGGACACATGTGGCTATGGTCTGAACCACGGGCATGCAAAAAAAATGATTTTGAATTTGGTTTTTCAAAAGGCAAAAATAGAAACAAATTTTTTTACCAGTTTTTTCGCGCTTTCATGGCTGCTGCTCACGTCTTATATATCGGATGGTCATTTCCGAGGTTCAGACCATAGACGCAAGTTAAACGAACATTTTGCCGCAAACCGCATTTAATTATCTCAATTTTTGCGCCCGTGAGAGTGGCACAAAGGTACAGAACAGGTGTTTTGAGAAAAAGCCCTAAAAGTAGAAACATAGATTTAACGTGTTTTTTCCGGATTAAAAATGCGCCTTTTGACGTATTTTAGTTCCGTTTGCGCCAAAATGTTCCTTTTTTCAACTGCGTTTGGGTGGTTCAGGGGTTTTATAATTGAACTTCGAGTGAAAAACCTTAACGTCAACAATTGGTCTAAAATATGCAAAAAAAATTACCTTTTTAGCAAATTCAAAAATGTGCCCAAACCGAAGTAATTGGAATTTTGCGGTGGGGTTTGCGGCGTTCGACTCGGAATGAAAAGCAGAAAAATAAGATGAAATAAAAAAGAAGGCCAAAATTTGACGATTTTCACTGGTGTGCCCCCTTAACGGTTTCTGCAATGCGCGATTCCAAAGCTCTGGATCATGCAATCGAAATTTGAAATCGAAAACAATGAGCTTTTAAATTTTTCATACTCTGAGGAACCGGCGGAACCCGGCCGCACCCCACCCCTCCCCTTCAACACCCTTCACCCGTCTTTCTCCGCCCTGCTACTGCCCAAGAAGCCGTGTTCTCCTTAAAATGGAGTATTTTATGGATTTCTTTGATATTTTATTACTCAAAACTACGAGAACTAGTGTTGCAGTCATTATTTATCGACTTGGTTTGCCGGTAGGGTGTCGCTTTTTAGCTGTCCAACTCTGTACTTGATTCCATCCCTGTGTTATTTTCTTGTCGCCGCACTATGATCTAGAATCCCAAAAACGCGGAAAAAATTCCCACGGCCTTGAAATCGCCCTCTTGTATGTATTTTGGGTCGGGGATTCTAAATCTGACATTAGTTTTGAGCTACGGTGATGTGCCTCTGAAAAAAAACGCAGAAAAAGCTTAAAAAGATTTAAAAATTGAGAAAATATTGCTGTATAAGATAATCGAAGTCGGGTAAAGAGCTGCTGGCACTAGTTTCGAGGTCTGGGACCTTTACTTTGTAAAAATTAGAAGGGCTGTGCAAGAAATAACACAACGATGAAGCGACTTTACTCTGCCATTCAATTTTTTAAATTAAATATTTGAATTTTACACGGTTTACCACAACCAGTTGAATTTCATTCAATGTATAAAACGAAACAAAATGTATAGAATAGGGTAAACTATACAGTTATCGGCAGGGGTACAGTTATTGTCATCTCGGCGAATAGTTGGGTCCTGCTCTGCAAGTACGCGTCCGTTAGTGATGCGGCCAATGCAGGTCGCTAGAGACACCTTTTGAGCATGCAGGACCGAGAAAGCATCGCGTTTGATTGAACATGTCAGCCAACAGAGCCACGTTTCTTGTCAAGTGCAGAAAGAGGTCACTTCGGCCGCCTGTTCTTATCTTCTATGCCAGGAACAGGGGTTCAATCTTTCGTGAAATTCGTAAATGTGGGCCGGAAAAAACAATTCTTTTCGCCAGGTTCCTTCTCCCCATCTACTGAAGGCACAGAAGCACAGAAATTCCTCTTGCTTGTCCTCATTCGGGGGGTGCCGATAACTGCACCAGAGATATCACCTCAAACACCGTTATCGTCAGGGTGGCCTCAAACTACACTGGTGCTTCGGGCGTCGTCCGGGAGTTAATATTCTGATGCATTATGACCATAGGAAGGCCCCTGCCAAATTTGAATGAAATCGGACTACTTTATCCACTGATCAACGTGATTTACGAATGTCCTCCTCGGCGCATTGAATGGTTGTTTTTTCGCAGCTCATGGAGCTAGTTGTCCGTGAGTCTAAAATGAAGGGCGCAAGAGGCATAACAGAAGAGAGAGGGGGTTCGTGACATGTCGAGGGGTGATATATAGAGTGTCTGTGACGACTGTTAGAAATTTTCGTCACTTTTGGTCATGTTTTGTATTTTTTACAAGGGGTGCCGATAACTGTCATAAAGGGTGCCGATAACTGTATTTTGGCTGCCGATAACTATGTTTTTGGTAACCTTTTTCTCAGGTTAAATAAGAGCGTCACCAAAAGTTTTTGGTGAAATCTTTGACAGCCACTTCGTTGTCTAGATCCTACTGAGGTGTGTGGAACAAGTCGCACGGGTCTTAGTGTCATAACCTACCCTAGAGGCCCTTGAAAAGAAAGCGATGCTCTTAAACTGACGGTAACTGTATAGTTTACCCTAGAACCGAAAAAATGTCTAAAACAAATGTACAAAACAAAGCGACAAAAACAAACTTGTAACAAAAAAGTTATTCTAAAAGGCACATGCCTTAATTTATTTTTGGAATAAAACTGAGTTCTTCCTTTCCATTTCTTCTGAACTGCTTTTCTGAGAGTGAGAATAGTGCCGCATTTTCCTTGATACCTTACGTCAAGTTCATACATCACTGCGGAAAAGTTGCAACCAGTCTCCATTTGCACCCTGCAGACTCACTTCTGATGTCCCTGAGTTCATTTTCGGTTTCACGTTTCTCAATTTCAGCATTTTTCTGCCTATTTTCTGTGATTTTCAGCCCACGTCCGGTGATTTTGAGTTCACTTCCGGTATGAACTAAGAGTAAATGAATATATGTCCTTGATAGCACTTTTGAAGCCCGTTCGTTCCATGTATGTATGTGTCCATGTGTGAGAAAAAGCAGGCACGGACGGAATTTTGTCTTTAAAAAGCTGAAAAAAACCCATGTTTGAGGGCTATAGAATCCCGGGGTCGCAGGTGGTCGCAGCATTTGCCGATGGATAATCAAACTATGGTGACCGGACTACTGAAAACTGACCACCAGAACCCAGCCAAACCCAGCCATTTTGATCCCCGGGTCTCGCAAAAATTCGAATTTTACCAATTTTGCCAAATTGTGTAAAGAAGTTTTCCGGCTTTGCCATTAATCCGAGAATGACACATAAAAAACACCCTATAGTAAAAAAGAAAGCCTGAAAGAAGACCTTTAAAATGGTATATAGGGTTTGAGGGTTTGAACCCGCCTTCCCAGGGAAATCGAGGACGGACTGAACCTCAACAAACAACTTCAACAAACGTTTCGTCAAGTTTGCAAATTTGTCAACTTTGGGAGCCTCCCATTAGTCGGAAGCAACCGACCGAGGTGTTTCTTGACTTGATTCTTGTCAGATGGACATTCAAGGATAGTTTCAGCCACACAGAAGCCAAATCAGACCCCTATCGTTTTTCTGAATTTTTTCCGCGTTTTCGGGATTCTAGATCATAGTGCGCCGTAGGTTATGGTACTGTTTTAGTTTATACACATGAACAATCGAATCGTTACCTTACATTACAATCTTTTCCCCAAAGGTTCGCCTCCGGAAATTTATTGCAGAATTCGCTCTCAAAGCCGTCATAAGTTAATCTGATGTCATATACATGGTAAAATGTGTAACTATGACTGCAGGAAAAGAGCGTACTACCATTCCTTTTAAATCTGAGGCTCTTGAAGTTATGAAATGCTGACAAGCTGCAAGAGCAAATTCTCAGGTAAGGTTGCTGGGTTGAAATGATCTTTAAGGACATCACTGTTTTAAGTACATTTGCTTTATTTGAGTTGCTTCATTTTCTTTCCAAACACATTTTATTTATTTTAGGTGTTCGGGTTTGAGCTTCAAGCTGTAAACAAAATTCAAGAAACACAATGCAAGCTCAGTTTTGAAGAAGAGTAAGGAATGACATGCTTAAATAATTATATAGTGAACAGAAGCAGTGATCATTAGGTAAGGTTGTTTGTTTGCATCTTGTGTATTTGCTTCAAGTACAGTTGCTTTATTTGAGTTTCCTAATAATAATCATGACATTGTTTTGTTTCACTTTAGGAGTGTTGAGTTTAGTGTGAAGATGTCAAGGAGTGCAATACACACAATCCGAGCAGAGATTTGTGAAAGGATATCGGGTCAAGTGTTTCAACAGTTATCTGGCCAGCAGAAGGAGCGGTCTTTTGGTAAGTTTGCAGTGTTTTATTGACGCAGGAGATGACACTTCATGCGTTAGATACATCAAGTATGATTGCTTCATTTTAAGTTGCTTAATTGTCTTTCATAACAGGTTTTTTTTTTTAATTTCAGGTGTTAGGTGGACACAGGCTTGCAAGGATCACAACAGGAGAAACATGAGGAGAACTTTGAATTGGAATGAAAGCAGGTGTTTCAACAATTATCTGGCCAGTTAGAAATGCTGTCTTAGGGTGAGGTTTTTGCTTTGAATAACTTATAATGCCATCACATTCAATCAAAATGTTTATTTTATAGGCATTTTTTAAAATTTGTTACAGGTCTCAAGACAACTGCATGTAAGGATTACAACAAGACCAATTTCAAGGAAAATCTTTCTTGAGGATACTGCTTGTTTGAGGTAGCATCTGTTGAAACGGTTTGTGGTCTGCTTGCCTTCTGCCGCTAAGCACCAATGGAGTAAGATTGTTTCTGGAATTGTCTGGGTGGGGATTGACCAGAGTTCTAAATTATTATTTCTTTTATTTCCTAATTTAATCTGTGAGTGTTGAGATGTCTCGGTAGAATGCATGCATTTGTCATATTTAAATTTTGTTGGTTCCAAGAAACCAACTGCATTTTGTATAAATACATGCATTTGTCGTATTTCTGGTTTTTTTTTTTGAAAAACTGGAAGGTGTGAGAAACCGATAAAGAACTGGAAAAACAAGAGGACCTTCGTTATTATATCTGAAGCAAGAAAGATCTTGTCTGTTGGGAGAAACCGACTGTTCTTTGTGGAAAGGTCGTAGAAAGCAAACTCTCATCATTTTCTGGAAATCTCTTGAACTACGAAGAATTGTTGGTAATTTCTGAGATTTTCTACGAAGACTTCTGGCAACATTTTTCACGACAAGTTCTTCGTCTTTTCCTGAAATTTTTTTTAACAGTGTCTTGAAAAAAGGGGGTCGACCGACTGAAACTTTTTACTTAAGTTTTCGATACGTCTTGGCAAGACCTCTTCAACGAGGGGTCGGAAGGGGGGTCCAGGAGCCCGCCTTCATGAGTAATGGGGAAAAGTGCGACGGACTCGTTTTGCGCTCCTGCTGTGCCTCTATTGCAAGGAGTTGCAGTAGCATGGCAAATATGGGTATTTTCGGAATGAGGGCTAAGAGACAAATGAAATGAGCATATTCTAAGGACAGTTGGAGTAAAGAGTGTAAGGACTTTTGCATATTGTGAATAGAAGGGCGGGCCTAAGTCACGATGGTACATCGATAACTTTGCTTTACCCGCTCACGGGGTGTGTAATGCGAGCGGGCCGAAGGCCCGGGCCTTCGACTGGCCAAGTTGGGTCTGATGCGAGGGCCGAAGGCCCGAGGAAAGGCCGCCGGCAGGCCAAGCTGGGCCGGCCCCCTGTCGAACCGAGTTGCCGGCGCAGCGAAGCTGGCAACTCGGTTCGACGGAAGGGCGGGCCCTAGCTTGTTAACGAGGAATCCGAATCTGACCTCGCCGAAAGCATGCGGGGATAGTAACTTTCGATTTGGCCCCTGAATATTTTGCATGAAAAAAAGTAAAGTTTTTTCCAAGTGATTCCGAATTATTTTTTAACGAGGCATGCGGGGATAGTAATTTTCGATTTTGACCAATTTTGACCAATAAATATTTTGCACCAAAAAAAGTTAGGTTTTTTCTTAGTGATTCCGAATCACTTTTTAACGAGGAATCCGAATCTGACCTCGCCTAAAGCATGCGGGGAAAGTAACTTTCGATTTTGACCCCTGAATATTTTGCGTGAAGAAAAGTAAACTTTTTTCCAAGTGATTCTGAATCACTTTTTGAACAGAAAACCGATTTTGACCTCGCCTAAAGCATGTGGGGATAGTAACTTTCGATTTTGACCCCCCAGTTTTTTGTTTTTGAAAAAGTAAAAATTTTTCTTTGTGATTTTAGACCAATTTTTAGCGAGAAATCCGAATCTGACCTCCCTTGGAGCCTGCGGGGATAGTAACTTTTGATTTTTACCCCCTACATCGCCAGTTTTGGCCCGAACCCCAAAATACTTGGTTGGTAGTCTTTTAGGGCCGAACTGAGTCGATTTCAATAATAAAATATTTTTTTCGCACTTTTGACCGTTTTGACCCACTGTGCATTGGTTTTATCTTTGGCGGACAAGCATGACCTTAACTATGAAATGGTCATCAAAATTTTTGTAATTATCGACACTATTTTAGGAAATTCTGCCTTACCTGTGACTAAGAAGCAACTCTGGCGGGCTCTGAACAAGCATGTTGCTGGAATCAGAAAACATGCTTATTGCTCAAGGTGCTTCAGAGCTCTAGGCTTAGTTCACTTGCTACCCAATCAAGTTGTGTGTGCTTGTGGTTGGACAAAGCCAAGAAGAAAAGTAAAATACTTCATCATTCTGAACATCCGTGGACAATTGGAAAGATTTTTGTCCCTTCCTGGTATTTGGGATGCACTTCAGTATCCACAACGAAGACAAAAAGAAAATCCAGATAACATTGAGGATATTTTGGACGGTGAGGCTTACATACGACTTCGAGCAGCAGAAAATGGACCATCCCCTGCAGATTGCACCTATACATTCAACCTAGATGGTTTTGAAGTCAGTGCTTCTTCCAAGACTAAAGCGTGGCCTATCTTCCTGAGGATCAATGAACTGCCCCCAAATCTACGTGAAAAACATGTCATTTTGGCTGGTCTGTGGGTCGATAAAGATTATGTTCATTTCAACCTTTTTATGAGCACTTTTGTGAAGCAGGCCAATAAGTTGTCCGCAAATAGTGTGACTTGGCAACGTAATGGGGTGGAGCAAATCACCCGTTTCTTTCCCTGCTGTTGTGTTACTGATTCGAAGGGAAGAGCTGGCATAATGAGGATGTCGACACATGCCGGTAATTATGGATGTACTTTCTGTGAGCATGTTGGCGTTAAATTAGAGGGCAGTATGAAATATCCTACTCCGGGTACACTTGTGCGTATAATTCGTCAACATCATGGACAAGAATATATCGAGGAGGTTCGAATTCCACTACCAGACCCTCGCACTGACCAAAGTATCAGAAACCTCATGGCCAGGGGAAACAGAACTAGAGGTGTCACACAGTGGGCGGAAACACCACTTTCCACGCGAAAAACTCTTATTTTTGCACTTTAAGCCTGAAATTTTGAACCCGTGGGTTCTGAGTGTCGTTAAACACGTCTTTCATACTTTTAAATACAACTTCATTGAAATCTGTCTTTTAATCCAATGGAATGCCTTATTTATAATTCCAAGGGGTTGGAGTGAATTTTCAAAATTGTCCAAATCAAAATTTCTTTATAGAAATGGATTCGGTTTGACAAGACAAAAAAAAATGTCAGCGCATGCCACAGGTTTAAATGAGAAATGATAGACTTACAGCCAGGCGTAGCACCGCGCGCGCGCGATAAAGTGTCGAATAACTGCATTTTTGTGCTGTTTACAGATAGAAATTAGGCTGCCTAAAAGGGCACAGTGGCTAAAAGTGGCTAGTTTTTGCCCCATCGTGAAGGGGACCCTTTTTTCTTTCGATTCAGCCTAGTGCGGAGTTGGGGCTCTGTAGGGCTTTTAATGCCGCCCAATGAGACTAAAATATCACGATTTTTGTGCCGCCTTCCACTAAAATGGCTGCAGATAAGTCATTTGTTGTCAAAAATACAATCCAAGACCGGTTTTGGAATCGCTAAAAAGTGCTCTAGACGAACGTGTGCTCAGTTTTTCTTTACGTGAACAATGAAAGGCACAATTTAATTACAAAGTCCACTATATTTTAAGGCAAATTGACAGAAAAATGGAAACTTTGACTTTCAAGCCTTCCTGAGGATAAATGAAGCTCTCTATGAGGAAAACGATGCTGGATTCGAATTCTGCATAGTTTTTTGAACATCCTAGGTAAAGTTTTGATCACTCACTTAACTTTTTACATTTGGACTTTTTCGCGTCGAAAGTGGTGTTTCCGCCCACTGTGTGTCATTGGCCCTGCACCAGTAATGCTTCTCAACTACTTCGACCTTGGAATTGGATGCTCCACCGATGACCTACACCCTGTGTATAAAGGGGTTACCAGTATCATACCGATCTGCTCCTTCAAGCAGTTCCTGATGTATACTCTGTGGGTGTCAATGAGATAGGGTAAGGTGCCCAGTGATGGCCATGGTACCAGTGATGGCCACTTTGGACTTTGCGCCGACTTTTCATCCACGCGGGAGAAGGTAAACAGCTGAGCTTTTGGGGTTTTGTACCCTCACCTATTAGCAACCCAACACCGAAAAAATTTCGTCTCGTTGCTGTCGTCGTGGGCCCGCAGGGGCTCAGCGCAACGAATGCTGCGTTGACATAATTTGTTTATTTTGTAGAGCTGAGATCAAACCAGTAATCGCAGCGTTTCTTTCGCAGATTTGGAAATTTTACTTTATTTCTCGCTGATTACTGTCAAAAAAGGAAGCACAGAGCTACTCCCCTCTCAAAAACCCAAACTAGCCATCACCGAGCAGGGCACAGGCCATCACAAAGCAAAAGGGGGGCCATCACTGGGCAAACTGCACTGAAATTTTGGTTACTCTTTTCGCAAAGACAGAGTTAAATTTTGCTCCTTTTCTAAGTGGAGAACCTTTACTCTATCCTTCTTGCATGCTCTTGAAAATGTCCCAAACGGTACGACGATTGAGAGACTTCGTAAACGGTTGGAAGACGCATCTGTGCGCTAAAAGTGGCCATCACTGGGCACCTTACCCTAGCTTTAATTAATCAGCGCCTGCAAGAAATATGGACCCCGACACACATTTCAAGAAAGCCCAGGCCTATTGACTTACGGCACATGTGGAAAGCCTCTGAGTGGCGTAATTGGTTGTTCTTTTATGGAGTTCCTTGTATGATGGGAATTGTTCCCGTTCCCGCCCAGTTTTCCTAATCCGTTTTTCCTAATGTGTACTTTTCCTAAATGCAATCTTCCTAAAGCAAATTTTCCTAATCCGTGTTTCCAAAGGACGATTTTCCTAAGGCTTTTTTTCCTAAAATGGAATACAGCAGAATATCGCCTTTAATTTGGTGTCTACCTGGTCGTTCTATTGTTGCTGCAACCCAACCTCCTGGACCTGAAGTTTTTTGAGTACATTTTGGTTGTTTTTCAGTTTTCTTTGCGTACCTTTTGGTTTGTGCTCTGTCCCTGGTGAAACAAACAGCATCGCACACCAACCCCAGGCGTGGCCTTTCAGAAAGCATTGAGAGTTCTCATTTCAAAGTCTGACATTGAACGTTCAGGATGAATGAAAGAAATGTTCTACGCCCGGACAAAGTCAAGAACGGCCCCAGATCTCTGCTTGATTATGTGAATCAATTTCAAGAAATATTTGGCCCTCAAAAAATGAGATTAGATGTCCAAATGGCTTCTCATTTGGCGCAATGTGTGTGCTACTGGGGACCGCTATGGGCTCATAGTACTTTCCCTTTCGAGTCATAGAATCATCGCCTGGCTAAAACAAGCTAGGGCCCGCCCTTCCGTCGAACCGATTTGCCAGCTCCGCTTCGCTGCCCCGGCAATCGGTTCGACAGGGGGCCGGCCCAGCTTGGCCTGCCGGCGGCCTTTCCCGGGCCTTCGGCCCTCGCATCAGACCCCAAACTTGGCCCTTTGAAAGGCCCCGGGGCCCTTTGGGCCCCGTTCCCGCCCATTTTTCCCAAAAATAAATTCCCAAATATTGGCTTCCCAAAATACATTTTCCCAAAGCAATCCTTCCCAAAATTAAAGTCCCAATCATATATTTTCCAATCCATTGTTACCAATTTTAGTTTCCCAATGTTACTCCCAAAAGTTTTCCCAAAATCTTTCGGTATGTGCTCACGAAGTCCTGAAGGAAACAGGCGGAGGTCATATTGACCGAAAAGGGGGCGGTGA